AACGCGGCTCCAGCCGATAGGCGTGCCGCTGCTACTCGCTTTTGTGCGTACAAACGTCTGCGCACGTCACGTGGAAAATATGGTTTGAATGCATTGGCTTTCCTTCGCAAACCGACGATATCCGATAACGCGCCATTTTACGATATCCGCTTTCGGTTTCAACGTATATACCGCTCGTCTACTAGTTGTTCGTATCGTTTCGAAATCTTCGCTCTAACACGAAACTCGGAAAGGGCCTTAGGAATGTATAACGAAACAAGTGCGTTGCAGCGAATCGAAAGCAACTCGAATCAGTTTCAAGGGCTTTTATTACGAAAAACAAGTACAAGATTATTTTCGCGATCATGAATTTTCCGTATTAAGCCGCTATCCGATGATGTTGCCACGAACCGCTCGGCGTATCCTTGCGGTAAAGTAATCGATCGCCTATGAGGTGATCCCTCGCGAAGTAAAATTCCATCATTGTCGGCAGTAACTTGTATCCAACGCTGAAAAAACAATACAAATACACAAAGAGTTTGCTATCGTTGCAAACGTTGCGAATGTAATCGTGACAATTACGCGAGACACCTACAAATGATCCGGCATTCGCAAATCGTTATCGTTTCTGCGAACCGAATCTAATATCTCGTCGTGTCTTTGTTTCAGTTCCTCCCAATATACTTCGCGCCCTTGATGGCACAAATGAGCCCGAACTTTACAATAAAGCGGTTCTCTCTCGTACAGATGTTGAAACTCCTCTTTTTTCAACCTTATCATGGTACCTTCGACTCTCACCTGTTAACATTCGATGGTTAACGTTAAGTCGGCGATCGATTAGAATCGTCTGGTTCACCTACCTGTCGCGTTATCTCCTGTTCTTGTTCGTTTACGTAAAACCACATGTAACACATGGCAACTTGGGGAACGCTTTCCTAAAACGAACAAGATCAATCGATCAGAGAACATTGTGTCGCATCCGCGACAAAGCCGAAACGCGAACGCACTTACTATATTATGAACTTTCTTACTGCGACTATCAGTCACGATCACGAAGCCGTCGTTGTCGAACTCTCGAAGGATCACGTTTCTCGCGGATACCTCGCAGTTCCTGAAATAAAGGTCCTAGATGAGAGAGGTTGTGAACGGAAGTTAGAAGAATCGATCGATCGTGTACCGACTTTGAAACGGTAGCCAAGCAACAGGCATCCGGCGCTCTGGGATTGTATTTTCGGGCTTCGTCGCGCCAGATTCGGAACAATTCGATCGGATTGTCCGTTTCCTCTTCGATTTTTGCCAAGTCCGACAAATCCACTCCCTGTTTCGAGCCCTTGACAAACCACGACTCTCGTAATAGAATCGATTTAACGACGCGTCGACAACAGTGCACCAGCCCAATCATTGATAACGATATAAAACGAATAAAACGCCGAAAACGAAATTGATCAACGCGTCTGCTCGTAATTAGAACGTACGACGCGTTCCTGAGCGATTGCGTTTATTCGAAACGCGACACCCTTGTAAATCTCAAAGAAAGAATGTTTTTATAAAGTTACGTAACAGTATATGCGACCGAGAGCGAAATGGTCAGAGGGATCGGTTCGTTGAAAACGATGGATCTACGTTAAGGTATTCTTACCATAGTTTTGCTTCCGTTAAGCCGGACAAACCCAATGCGTCTACGACTCGTCGCGCGTTGTAGCAGCGTTTTCGCTTAACCAACGGCTGGTATGCGAGCGTTCGACATTTATTAAGTAACCCTCCTCGAAACCTCCCACCAACTTTACCAGGCTGTGCGCGCGACTGTTCCTTTACAACAACTTGAGAGATACGTATAGAATGTACCGGCCGTGCGCGTCCGTGCATTCACTGTTTCTTGTCGAATCTGAACTTGATGTAAGGTATCTCCGTTTACGTAACAACGATGAACGGAGACGCGATTCGCGGCGAACCTATCGTTCGTTCTACAGGCAGAAAATCAAATTTCTTAGGGCTCGATAAATAAATCGTTCGCAATCATTCGACGTTCACGTTTTAATAAAACATTTCTCCTTACAACGCCGTTAACGTACGCGTGTTATACATATATTCTATACGAGCGCAACGATACAACAACAAATATCGACAAACTTTACATTCGATTCACGGGAAACGATACGTGGCTTAGGATACAGTACGATAACTGCGCGTTATTTTCACTTTCACGTATTTTACAATCGCGTAAACGAACAACTTAACTAACGAAGAAAAAACTATCGATGGCGTATAAAAAGGTACGAAAAGACCAACGATCTTACGTCGAGTATCAGGATATCTCGATTTCAGCTCTAATCGGTTCGGTGACAACGCGGCGTTCAACCGATTTCTGTGTCGATGAAAGTACGTTTATCGATCGTAAAACGTTTTCGAAAATATCACGATCATTCGATGGTGGATTTCACCCAAGCGATATTCGAGGAAATTTTATCGTACAATCGAGGCCTCTCAACGCCGGCTTTCGAGCACGCTATTCGCCAACTACCAACACCAGTTAGAGCCCATCTACGGCCGTCTGATCGAAGGCACAACATAGGACTGCCGGCAACCTCTTCTTCCTGTGGATAATAAACGACAATTTAGTCATTTGGAACGCGTGAACCAGGTACAAGCGACTTACGTTGCAATCGTCGGTGGAATAAGCTGGTTCCGTGCAAACGCTATTTACCGACGCGATACTAATATTCTCGCATCTCTCCATCGCGCTGTGCCTGAGCTGTACCCTCTGGAGCAGATCGCCTAATCGAGGAAAATTTCTTTTTATAAAGGATGAAAACTTACGCGTCGACGACATCACGAAAATCGACGCGAACGCAACAATTTTCTATCATCCCATCGAACAAATACGAGCAATTCCAACGTGACCTTACGTTGCGTCTATTTATAACGCTTCAAGGATATTCGCTTCGATTTAAGCTGTCGAGAAAGTTGTCACCGAGATTGTATAACCCGCCGCGCTTAAGCATCCTTATGCGTTACGAAGTTCGTAAGGCCGATGCAACGCGCGGAGAAGACGAGAGCGCGAGAGCGTAAACTGCAAACTGCATACGTTATATAACGTATCGTGGGATAAATAACGTAACCTCGATGTTTCAGGGCGTTCGACGAAGCGAGGACTCGCTACTTACGATTTCTGGCCCATCCGAGAGCGTTACACTGTGTCGTGTTCACCGGTGGATCTTGGTTCGAGGGCAAGCAAACGGGTCTCACGAAATCCGAGAAGGTGGTTACGGGTCGATCCAGTTTCAACAAAACCGTGGTACTTCCTTCCACGGGTGACTTAATCATGCCCACGATCCTACGTTCTTGCTGCCACGGCGACGTGCTCGAGAGCCGTACAGTGCCCATTCTCGCGGACCATTCCGCCTTTGGTTGACTGCAATTACACGTTGTCTAGCGAAACTCGTTTGCGGTAACGCGACCTAACGCGAACGATACTTACCCTTGAAAACAAGATGCCGTGGCGATTAACCAACTGGCAGCAACGAGAGTGGCATCGCACACGTGCACCTCTTCCTTGAAAAGCGCCACATGCCAGGGCCAATCGCCTGGTTCGGCCATCTTGTTAAGGCCTCGCGTGCCACTCCTTGCCCGCAATGCTTGTACTCCGCATTCTAAACATAAATCGTGTTTCGGCGATAGGAGCGAACGCGAGACGCGAGGCGAACGCCAGGACAATTCTCTTACCGAGTTCGCCGCATCGGACGTACATAACTTCTTTGCTCGGGCAAGGCGCTCTGACGAAAGTAATCTCCGTGGCCGATGGATCCTCCATGTGCACGTACTGAACGTCCTCTTCGTCGTCAACTCGAATCTCCACGGATTTCACGCCTCTGCGGGAAACAGGATCACGCGTAAATCAAAGATCGCGATTACATTTATTGCGAGCAAAATAAGAATGTACTCACGTATACGTTAATAAATTGCAGAGTGAACCAGCAGCAGTTTGAAGAACGTCGTCTATTTCCGTTCCTGGTAGCGTAGCATTCAAATTAGCGGTGCAAAGTTTGCCGACCATACCTTTCTCGTTGAAAATCACGAAACCTTCGTCGTTGTACTTGGCAGCGTGCGGTGTATCCGAGGGTTGAGCTTTCGCTGCTCGAATACTTGGCGCCAAAGACACTGAAATGTACAACAGCAGTACGTAATAAACGAAACGGAAACGACGCGTCGTTTCCGACGACCATACAACCATACTCACGGCAATCTTTTTCGTCGCTGCCATTGGCACAATCTACCTTTCCATCGCATCTTTCGCTGCGCGGAATGCAAGTTCTACCTACGCCACAGTGCATGTAACCGTCGCGACAATAAGCGCAATTCTTCTCGTCCGAAAGGTCAGGGCAGTCGATCACGCCGTCGCAAATTCTCGGCGACAGGGCTTTCGCTTGAAGCGCTTGCACGCATCCTAGGACAATAGGTGCTCGTTAATCGTAGAGAATTCGTAAGTCGATCCCCGTTCGGGTTAGATCTTTATCGTTTCAGCGTAAGTTGGCAAGCGAAAGGTCGCGTTCGTTCACCTGGTTTCGCTCTACAGCCACCTTGGTCCGCGTACTCCGGAAAATTCGAACAGTCCAACAATCGTTTAATTCGATCCGGAAGTCTGCTACCGCATCCGTTCCAAAATTCTCTACAAAAGCTTCTACACGGTAACTGTAACAGATCTTCCGGTTGATTCGGTACGCACGCCGGTTGCAACACTTGGCACACAAAGTCGTATGCCAATCGATAACATTCCGCGTCGACCAGTTCCCTGAAACGGAAATAACATTTACAATATAAATTTCCGCTACGTTTCGCTCGGAACCAAGCAAAATCGATGAAAAAGTTTTACCTGAAAGCGATCACGTCCTCTTCCACGTCGGCCAACGAACGATGTCCCAATACGTTCGGATAGGAGGTAACGTTGTACGGGAGGTGTTTGCAATAAGACAAATCTAAATTGCTACATCTTCTGGGAGGAGGCAACGTGGTCGTCGGCGAGGCCGTCGAAACGGTCGTTTGCATGCTAACCTGAGCGTTCAGAGCTTTCAGGCTCTCCTGAACTTCGAGACTTTGCGAATCAATCGTCAAGTTGGTCAAGTACTTGGAAGTTTCGCGATTGATCTCCCGCGAAAGGATGTCCACGACGTCGCCGGTGGTAACGGTTTGGTAACGTGGATCGAATCGAACGTCAAAGTGCACTACCAAATCGCTGCCTTCGGATCTGCGCAGCCAATCAACGACGAGCGATTTAATTACACATACGCGTGTAGAATGTACGTCGTAGATACATGCGAGCATATCGCTGTGGAAGGAACGAGTGCATCGTCTAATCACGGTTAAAAGAACACGTGTCGTGAAATCACGGGGAATCCGTTTAAAGATCGTCGTCGGCAGCCCCGAGAGGGTCTTTCTCGAGGGGAATCGAGAATTATTTCCAAAGCGATAGCTCCGCTTTCGACGATATCTTCCGTAAAGATTCCTCCACGGATTTTTCGTGTTCGCACCTCGTCACTCGTTAATTGTTCGATCGCTTACCCGTCCAACGCTAATACCTCCGCGGCGAGGAAAGAGACTTTCATCCAACTGCGACGGAAGATAAGATTCAATCGATCGCGATATTCCCGAGATCGTATCCTGAAGGCTTCGGTAGAGGGATCCGCCAGTTCCGAAGCGAACGAATCTCCCTCGATAACTCGAAACGTTGCTAAGAAAATTTGATCACCAGGAGGATCCGAGGTTAGGAACGTGTCTGAAAACGATAGAATAATAATTAGATAAACAATCGATTTATAGAATACGAAAACGATGTTACCGCTTATTCGGCAAAGATCCCACCGGCTTCGGAAAAGAATGGATTTCACCTCGAAACGATCGATCAATTTTCATGCCGTGAACTTCGGAGAAACGCTATTCGTCACTCGCGTTTCTAAATGATACTTTCTAATGCTCGATCGCGAACGCTTCTCGAGCGTATCGCGAGGAAAATAACGGCGCGACGCAAGAAACAACGACGATCGAGACTATGCATTTTCGACATAAATATCAGTGGATAAACTAAACACCGACAACGAAATCGAGGGCAGTCGGCTCCGGGCTCACCTTTCACCGTGCCTTTGGTTAAGCATTTTTGCACCGCAAACTTTACTTCTTCGATTCGCGATACAGTTTCTCGCTACTCGCGGATCAATTTCGCGAGAAATTCGCCGAATCATCGATCGACGCGAGAGCGGATCGCTTTTACTTCGACACATTTTACTTCAGCGAGACTCGTTTTTCCTTTTGCTTGTTTTCGACGAGACTCGATTCGACCGGGCAAAGAGAGAGAGAGAGAGAGAGAGAGAGAGAGAAAAAGGAGGACAAACGATAACGATAAAATAAGACGAATCGGTGATTGTTCGCGCGCGGGATACTTTCGAAATGGGAATTCGGTTAGTACGGCGACGCCGAGGCATCGAAATGATTCAAGGACACGAATCCCCCCTTTGAGGTCGAGAACGTTGGGGGGGTGACAGCAAGGATGGCTCGACAACTCGGTCAGACCGTTAACTCTGCTACTTTCAAGGCCTCTTTGCTGGACCCCAACGCGATCCTGCATCTTCCACGACCTCTGCTTCTCTTTGCCCGTGTAAAGCATGAATTATAGCTCGAGGAGTCTCGCCACGACCGTGTTCGCTTTCTTCTGCCTCGAAATAGAACTCGCTCGCCGGTCGCTGTAACTTTTAACGCGACGCGTTTAAATGCTGCGCGAACGAAACGGTCGTTCGGAGTAGGCAAAGGTGTTTTGTCGGTAACTCGGTCGAACCGTTATGTTTGCGCGCGGAAAAGACCTCAATGGGCTCTGGCCGCATCGTTTTCTTCCTCCTTCGTTTCTCTCGTTCGCGAAGAATGCCGTGAAAACGCGCACCTATCGTTTCGTTTTTTTTCTTTCGGCCGAAAATAAATATCTGCTAGGCGCGACGAGACGCAACGGAACGCGACGTTCCGTTTCACGCGTCTACCTGCTCGGCCGACCGATATTTTTTATACGCGTCACGCACTGTACCGGTGCGTACTTCCCTTCGCCTTCGCGTTTCTTCCCGGTCGCTCCGTACACCGCGAACCTCTCTAAATCTTTTCGCATTTTATTCAAAACCCTGACCAGCGCGTACCTACTTACTCGCGTCGATTAGCCACGCGATCGAGCGCAATTTCGATCTCAAGGTGAAGTACGCGCGTTCGCGAAAGAGGAACCGATGTTCGCGAGAACAAAGGTACGCGTCGATTCGCACTTCACACTCCGTGGAACGTTCATGCACCGTGACCCGATCCGTCTCGGACAGCGATCACGTTGTATTTCTAAGTAATTTCATGCCTGCCAGACAGTCGATCGTCGGTTAACCGTGGTGTAATTTCATTTGCGGCACGCCCGATAAAACGCGCACAAGTTTACGGAGAAAGCGTTAGGAAGGAGAAACGCCGAGCGCGTTTAAAGTTCTTTGCTCCAACGATCTTCGCGTTCCATTTCGCCTCAGGATAAATACTTACGATCGAAGACGTCATACTTACAGCCAAGGTATATGGATACCCCCGAAAACAGAAGAAAGAGCAGAAACGCAGCCAGCACGCAGCATCCGCAACGATATTGTCCACCGAGTTTTCTCGTGAATCGAATGTCGCTGTCCGACGAGAGGATCGAGCTCGGTGTTCCGGCACGGCTAAATCTTCGGGTGCTTACGGTGCTCACCGAGATCTGGAAAGAATAGAAATATTCGTGGATCGTCGATTACAAAACGAACGAAAGAAAGGTCGATCGAAGCTTCGAGAGACGTCGAGAATCCTTCGTGCCTCTCCCTCTTCTTTCTCGCCGCTAGATTCGTTTCGGTACGAAACATCGAATATCGCAAAGGTTTCTCGTCGAGGCACTATTCGAATCGAAGCTGAACTACAAATTTCTCGGTTATTCACAATTACGAACAGCCAATTCGCTTTTCGTCAAGTTAGTTTCGCGATTTTACCCAATCGAACTGTGCGACAGCATTTCGCTTCGGTGGAAAGAAAGAAATCGACGTCGAAGACGTTTAATCCCGATTAAGCCGTACGTGGTAACGAAATACGTTTCGGCCCAATTAGCCGTTGCATCGGTCGATAACGAAGAAAAGTTAAACGCGTACGAGAATTCGTAGCTTGCAACGACGATCAAAATTGTAAACCGATTCGTATAATTCTCGAAACGAGTTACGTAAGCGAGTTCCACCACGCATCGAGCATCGGTCACCGTTCGAGCTGCGTGCAATTTACGGCGTGCGTACCGTTCGGCCGAGAGTACGCTTTGTAAGATATCGCGAGGTAAACACCGTGACACGATATAAAAGACATCGTGTACGAACGGGAGTTAAACAACCGCGTTCAGCGTCGAGCGCAACGAGTTTATTCTTTGCGACGTTTGCGCATCTAAGCGTGTAAGAGGTCCGTGTAATCGCCTCGCCGATACGAGCTCGACCGCTCGGAGCGGCGCGGCGCGCGAACAGGCCTACGCCCTCTTTCAAATGTTACACTCGGCACACGCTCCGAAGCAAAGAATCGGTGAATCGCAGCGTCGCGGCGATCGGATTCGCCAATCTCGAGACTAAAAGTCGAATCGGCTCGATTCTCGGCAACCGTAAGCGTTCGTTTAACGCGAACGTACCCGCACAAAATCACCGAACCGTACCCTGCTATCCGTGTTTTTCATTCTTCCTTTCGTTCGCCGTCCATGTCTCTCTCTCTCTCTCTCTCTTAACGACGGTACTAATCTTCGCCAACGGTATTCGGAATAACGGAGACTCGAGCTCACCCCGAACGGCGCGAACGGCGAATCGAGATTCGGTTACCGCGCATTATGCAAGCGATCGCGATAGAAACGCAAGAAGGGGTGTCTTTGACGAACAATGGCGACCAGGAGTGTTACGAAAGTCAAATGAAAGTTCGAACACGAAGCCTTTGTATTCCTTCAACCTGGTTCGATAATAGTCTTCGCCGGGTCTTTTCGTAGGAAATGCTCGTTTAACGAGCCCCGGTTACGCAATCGGCTAATAGCATTTTTAATCGCGCGCGATAAATCGTGAAAGATAGGCGACCGCGAAATTACACGGTTGCAACGAAAACCGCGTTTGGTAGAAGTAATTCTTTCGCCAGCGATGCAACGTAGGACGCAAAAGGTCACGGCGGACTCGATATTTTCCCGTAAGAAGAACGGCAAGTTTCTGACGAAACGAGCCGCAAGAAGGCGATTCGCGAGAGAAGGGGACGACTGGTCGTTTTCTCAAAGCGAGAAATCTCGAATCGAATCGGACGATTTGTTTAACGGAACGGCAACGGTCGGTGAACGCGTCGAACAGAAAACTAGAATTCGATGTCGGTAAACGACGAGGAAAGCGATAGAGATCGTTCGAAGAGATCGACACGCGCTCTGACTGATTCGAAGTAAAAAACCTTGTCCGCGGAGTCCGTGGAAAATTAAGACTTTTCAGAGCACGCGTCGAATAAGCGTTTTCCACCGACGATGATTTCTTCGGTATTCGAATAGACTCTTTGATCGTTTTATCCCCCTGTTATTGCTGGAACAGACTCGTGCGACCCGTTCAACCGTAAGAACGGCTCGTAAAACCGATGCGCGAACTGTCCGGTTTTAACCGACACGCGTAATCCCGTTCCATTTTTCCCCGCGAACAGATTCATCGAATTTCTTCGGAAGAAGAATGGGCGTCGATCGCGGAACGAAACGGTGTCAACGACCCACGGAAAGAATCTACCAAGTTTCATTGGCTCGCCCGGTTCCTCGTCACTTTCTTGACCGTTATTACCGTTACTCCAAACGTCGGACTACCTTTCCAAAAGAGTAAGAATCTAGGAACGAGTTCTGCTCGCCTTAACTCACTTCATGGCTAGATCAGAGCCGATACATGGATCGCGTGCACGTACGCGCGTATTCGTATCGTAACGCGTCGTCGTTGTCGATAGTTTTCTCCAGTCGCGAACACGCGTCTCGAAGTTCGCGATCGAAATGTCATCGTTAACCGATTATGGGCGACTATAGAAGACGAATCGAAACTTTAGCAGGCTTCGGGGAGTCGCGCGATAATTGTCGTTGGACGTAATTCGAGCGGAATGCCGATCGCGTGATCGGGAGCCAATAACGGAATAACGGTATATCGAGAAAAGACCAGATGACGGGCCAAGTGAAGCTAATCCAACCCAGCCAACGCATCGTTTCTTGTTCCACGGTCAACCTAGTTCTCCGTCGAGTGCGTAGCTATTCGATATCCGTACGCTATTCGGGGTCAACGGAGAACAAGGTCGACGCGTCTGCGGAGAAACGGCGCATCGCGATAGCTATCCGCGAAATCGATGTCCGAGAGAATCGAAACTTGCCCGTTTGCGCAACGTATCGGTCGGGAACTCGCCGCAGTACGCGCAAGTAATTTAGCTAATGATCGTTGCGACGCAACCGCAAAAAACGAGTCCCGCGGAATCGGTTTACGATTTCATCGCGGATCGTCTTTAGGTCGCCGTTGCCTTTTCTAAAACACAGGATCGCGGCGAGAAGGAAAGGAATAAGAATTTGCTCGAAAAACAATACAAGTTTCTGTGGACGTTCACCGTTTCGCGTCGATTTTACGTTTTCATTCGCGGCCGATTTCACACGGGGGCCAACCGGTTAATTAACCGCGAGACTCGAACGAGAAAAGATAACGAGGAAAACGCGTACACAGGGGGAAAGTGCGCCACATTCGTCTCACCTTCGAATCCCACGAGCTCTTCCGCTTGTGTTCCATCGCGACAGTCATCTTCGAGCCGTTCAAACGATTTCTTTCTGCTCCATCAACGCTCCTTCGGTATGTTTGCCGCGTGAACACGCACGAACACCATCGCGAACCAGAATTTCGTGTCGGTCGTTGGTCTTTCTCGACGATCTCTAACACCGATTACGTCGAAACGTTTGCCTCGATTACACTGCACTCCAACGAAATAATTTCGCTTCCACCGTTTGTCGCCTTATGCTCAAACTCGATACGGCTCGCTTCTCGATATCTGTTCAACAGAAAATAACGATCGTATTTTAGAGGCGTTCGTACGAGTCTCGAGTGCTTTCGATGCGGAACGCGGTATCGCGTGTATCGTAGTTAGAAAAGACGAGAAAAAATCATTGCACGAGACACGAAGTAACGCGATATCTCGAAACTCGATTCGAACGAAGCACTTGACACTGCTACGCTTAACGTTGTTCGACGAGTGATTTCGTCCTTTCGAACTACGTCGACTACGCGATACACGCAAATCCGTCATCTATGGAAACTCGCGTATTACACTTTTCCTAAGTAATCTTCGGGGTCCGTCGACGACGAAAGCGTGTCAGAGAACGTCGGTAGCTTTATTCCGATCGGACTAGCGAAGGCCGCGAATCGCGTTTAATTCGAACAAGGATCCACACATTAAGCGGTTCGATCGGAAAATCGTTCTAGAAAAACAATTTCTCCGAGCAAGTCGGCACCGTCTGCGAGGCAAAGAGATTGTCCTGGACGAAGAGAGATTGCCGGGGGAACGGAGGCCCGCTTGCTAGATCGCTCCCTCGCTCCTGGATGCACTTTCACGTCATTACCGGTTCTCCGAGACGCGATTCGACGCTGTGCAACGCGACGCGACGCCTCGACATCTATTGTTTCCGCGTCGTATCGCCTCTCGTGCATCGTATTTCGCTAAAAAAACTCTGATAACGCGATCACGAAACTCCAAAGCGCGAATAAATGTCGTAGTCTCACGAGTTTCGGAACTCGTGATGCAGACGATGCGTTCGATCGAAATTCGGGTCACGTTTCGAGCGTACGATTATCCAAACAAGAAAGAGAATGTTCGACCAAACGCCGCTTATGGCCTCAACTTTTCTCGAGGAATTTGACTGCAACCGAAACGACTCGTTCGAGGCAACTTTTTCAAGGGTAACTAGTTTAAATCTGGATTCCATCGAATAACGTTGCTACTGACTTTCTTATCGTCCGAGACGAATACTTGTCGATTAATCGAGTGACCCATATTATATATTAAATTTTAGTTAGCGATACGAACACGTAACGTAGGTAAAAAACGTGGCTAAAGGTAAAAAGAAAATAAAATAAAAGATAAAATCGATCGAATAGAGAGAGAAGTGCTCGATCTCTGACTCTTACCTCTGTATCTCTGTTGCACCGATATACCTTTTTTGATGCTCGATCAAAATAACTTGGCATTATTTACGTCACTGTAACATCCATTTCTCTTTTCCTTCTGTCACTGTCCGATTTAACGATTCACGACGTTCACCTCAGTTTTTGCGATATCACCGTTTCGTTTCACTCGGAGAATTTTATTATCTTTTCGCGCGATGACAGCTGTTGCCGTTGCATCGGAAGTGTTTCCCTGTTCGACTGGCGGGAACGTTAAGTTGGCCTTTCACACTCTACGAGACAGTTCAGCTTCGCTCTCCTCAAGGCGATCCTCTTTCTTCGTGTCACAGAAAGAAATAACCGTTAAACCACGACGGCCGAACCTTCGGGTAGCGAGGTACACGCACGAATGTGCACCGCTCGACAGTCGACCGTCGATTAATGACCCGGTGAACGTTCCACGCGCCCTTCTCCGTCGCAACATCCACTCCAAGTATACCGCTTACCGGTTCACCGACTAATTGTTTACATTTACATACATTACAACCATTTCTTTTTTCACCTCTTCTCTTTTTATTAACGCGCCACGCAATGCTTCCCTCTTTCTTCCACGCGATATCTCGATCGGTATCGAAAGCATCTTTATTCTCGTTAATTTCCCTTCGTTTATCGAGCCAAACAAACGTGTCGCCTTACTTTCTTCTCGATTCGCTCGCGCGTCAATTAAAACTTTTCCAATCCCGCAAGATTTCACGCGTTTCCATAAACAGGTAAGCGTATTCGCGTCGCCTATCGAAGAAAACGCCTTGTACGGCAGTTGGATCTTAGACGGACGTTCTCGAGAGCCGATCTAACCGGTAGAAATCGTACGGAGAAATTCGGTTCGACTCGAACTCGTAAGAACGCTTCGACTCGAGTACGCGATTTCGATCGTCGAAAGGAAAATACGGGTGTGTGAGAACAGAACGGCCAATGAACAATTCGAGTACTTAATCGCTCAGTTTATTCGTATGGACAATTAAACGATACATATACATGGTGTGTACGAATTACGTGTCTCTTTCTTAGGTCTAATACATCGACAGCGATCGGAGGCGCATACGGGGGCATCGAACACGATGCACGGTATCTCGCCACGATTGCGTAACTACGTTAATGATAATAATAAAAATTAAGTATAAACTACCCTGTAAAATACGTAATGCGAAAGTTCATTGATATTCGTTTATATTTATACGTGATTGTAATTCACCGATACTCGAGAATGATATTAATTCCGTAGTAATTTATATTTATATATATATTTCACGTTTTCGTACCCTGTCTCTTTCGCGTAAAAACAAGCTTAAAGTTGCTCCGCGCTCGTGTACGATTTCTTCTAGCTTACGATTACTCTAGGAACCTCTTGTTCCACGATTCTTCGTCAAAGTTCTTTCGAGTTAGATCGATAACAGGGCGAGAGTAAAACGAGGATACTAGTCTGTACTGAAATTACTTGAGAGCCTCACGAGTCCGTTTCTCCGGTGAGATTTCGGTGCTGGCACGGTTTCAGAGATCGGTGTCGTACCAAGCTGCAACCTGGTTATTATCTTGCGGCGGTGCAGGAAGCTCCTCCAGATGATCGAAACTCAGGTCACCCTCGTGCGCTACGTCCATAGTGTCCATCGCGCCATATGTCGACCCTCCGCCTATTTCCAACCCTTGCATCGAATCTACTGGTATCTGGTCATAACCTGTTTCGCAGAAAATTTACGATCAACCAAGCGTGTTCCCTTCAAAATACGTTATAATTACCACGGTCAATCGACAACAACTACGTTGCTAAAACACCTTCTCAACCAGTCGAAGCACAATTTTGCGAAGTGTTCGGCGATATGCGTTATCTCGCCGTCACGCAACTGTTCGTCCCACGAAAGAAAAACGAGTCGGATGTAATTCGAAATCGTTGAAATCTTACGGAAAAGGAGAAGCGAAAACGAATCTCTTTACTATATACGTATATCATTTAGAGTCGACTAATCGCGCGAAAAAGGAAATTCTCTTCGCGGTACTGCGTGCTCGATGCCTTCGAGAAAACATCTTATCTAATTACTTACGAATACTCGTCTATGCTTCTTTCCGCGCCACAAAGTACGTTCAATTAGAGAAAAGACGACGAATACACAGATACGGCATGCATCAAATTTCACGATTAATAAGTTAATAAGTTATCAAATCTATGAAAAAGGGAACAAAGAGTATTTGCTATGGTGCATTTGCTATGTTTTCAAAGGAAAAAGCATTCGTGAAACGTGCATCGCGCGTAATAGGTACATGTAACAAATTCGGTAATTACGCTTATTGCGTCACGAGTATAGTAACAACTATAAAAGCGTGTAAACATTACACATTTGGCAATTAATAACAAAGCAAAGAACGGTACGTAAGAACTGTGTGTGTCACCTATGTTACTGCGAGATTACTGTTGATAGCCTGTACTTTAATACAAGTCCTTGGGTTAAGCTGCTGTTAAAATAACATACAATTAAATGCATTGCTTTCATTTTGTTATCGACGAGTATTAACAAACAAACGGGTTACTAACGATTTTTTAATTACGTAGACCCTGTACCAGCAGAAGAAGAAACAAGACACGAACACGAAAGTTTGCATTACCATGTCAAATGATTGTCGATGCATAAACGGCGAAGATATGCGTTTATTTTGAAAAAAAGGAGAGGGAGAGAGAGAGAGAGAGAGAGAGAGAGAGAGAGAGAGAGAGAGAGAGAGAGAGAGAGAGAGAGAGAGAGAGAGAGAGAGAGAGAGAGAGAGAGAGAGAGAGAGAGAGAGAGAGAGAGAGAGAGAGAGAGAGAGAGAGAGAGAGAGAGAGAGAGAGAGAGAGAGAGAGAGAGAGAGAGAGAGAGAGAGAGAGAGAGAGAGAGAGAGAGAGAGAGAGAGAGAGAGAGAGAGAGAGAGAGAGAGAGAGAGAGAGAGAGAGAGAGAGAGAGAGAGAGAGAGAGAGAGAGAGAGAGAGAGAGAGAGAGAGAGAGAGAGAGAGAGAGAGAGAGAGAGAGAGAGAGAGAGAGAGAGAGAGAGAGAGAGAGAGAGAGAGAGAGAGAGAGAGAGAGAGAGAGAGAGAGAGAGAGAGAGAGAGAGAGAGAGAAACGGAAGAAACAAAAAAGTGAAGATAAAGAAAAAAAAATTTTAATTCGAGTCGATCGTTCGTAGGATTAAAAAAAAAATCAAGACCTTCGATAATATCGCGCGATAAAAGACAATTCACGAATCCATCTTTCTAAATCCAACGACGTACATACGCGCGTATGTACAGGATCGATTGTTCGAAAGCAATATAGTCGGATAAAAGCTGAAAACTTACCTTGCGGTTGATACCCTCGACCTCCGTGGCTGCTGTGTACGCTAGGGGGTCCTTGTCCATACATACCATCATAGCCTTGATCAGGGCCAAGCATGTCCTGAAGAGATTAGGTAGCTCAGATCAACACAAAACGTATCTTCTTTTGAAGGCGTGTCTTTAACAGCCAGCGTGAATGTACATACATCGAAATACGTACTTGTCGCGGCATCGTACAGATAACTCGCGAGGAAAACTACGTTTTATATAAACCTATCATAATATGCGTCGTATTCGACACGTTTTTCATGTTTCTACGGTTCGAAACGTAATCTCGAGTTCGCAATTTTGCTCTTTTCGTTATTCGACCTATAGGGGATAAAACACGAATAGCGATGAAACGCATTCTCATGCATATACGTTACGTTGCAAACTAAGGGTGACAATAAAGTAATCGCTGTACATTTATTACATGATTCCATTGCTCCATTAGGCACGACCCTACGATCTACTCGAATCTCGCGAATCGTTGAAACTTTAACTCGGGTCTGTTCGATAATCGCGACGCACGGGCAAAAACTTAATAATTGATTTCTTTTTTCTAATACGATTACTTAGTTCGAAGAATAATCAAACGTCGAACGTAACTAAGTTGTGCGAACTGGAATAATGGATAACGACATTCATATTTGCAACTATCTAACGATACAGTTCTAGACTTACAGAACGGGAAGATTACGTGGGCAAAGTACCTGTTACTAGTCGAATAAAACTGCCATATCGCTAGTACATTCCCGTGGCTCAATTCACCAAACACGATGTAATCGGACGTACGAAGTTCGAAGAGTAGAAGAGCTAACGTTGAATTTCTCGCGAATTCGTTTAGTTACAAACCTGACTACTGCTGGAATCTATTTACGTCTATTCGAAAGTAACGAATTGTACAAGGATGATTTTCAGACGAGAAAATGTGCTGTGTTACAAAGTGTTTTTAAAGGAATAAATTTAGCCACGGCATAAGCAGGTCATGCATCGAAACAACGAATTACGGTACCTGTAGATCTGGACCCATTCCGAAATCAGCGTTGTTCCAGAGATTTGTGTCCTCGCGTAACAGCGAGTTCGTAAGCTCCATGGAAAGTCGTTTTTTGTATTCTTGTGGCTTGTCTTCGCTCATACGGAATAACACGGCTGCCGCGTACGTCGCGACTCCTTCGTTTCTAGAATGAAGCAGCTCCGTTAAAGGAGCGGTAGCACCTTCTTGTTCGATCATCTCGGCACCTTCCTTATCAGCGGCAAGTTCGCAAAGCACTCCAGCTGCTACGCGCTGAATGTTCTCGATTTCGTTAAACAATAACTGTAGAGAAAGAGAAATAAATGCTAGTACGAACGGACGGTGAGGCGCGATATATCGATTAAAGGATTAAAGAGAAAACACGATCGATGCACGAATACGTAATCGAATTTACGAACCTGTACGAAAACTGGAATCACGTTTTGATTTCTGATGACGACCCTATTATGCGATTCTCTCGCGAGTATATGAAGCGCCCCTACCGTGCCTTCTACTATTTCCTCCATTCGAACTCCGCCATCCGTTTGCTGACTTCCGGTACTCGCCACGGACGATCGTTGCTGCTAAATAAGAATCGATTACTTTTGTTGCTCGAAAGACCTGCGACGGTTTTCTCGCGGATTTTCACTCACCCTTTGTGCTTCGGGGAAAGCGCGCATCAGGAGCCTAACCAGATGATGAATTGCCCCATGATCACGTAACGGACCGTGATTCGCGGGGCACAGAGCCAAGTTGCGAATTAATCCTATAACCGCTTTAACCAGTGGCCAACGTGAAGGTGGGTGTAAAAGTTTCACTATCACCTGAATTCCATAATTTAGACGAACAGAATTTTGTGCCATTTCTGCTTCCGCGTGACGCGACGTCAAATGACGAAGCGCGCATACCGCGGGTTCGCTGATTTCTTCTCGACTATCCGCATAAATGATGGTACGTACGAGGGCGTCGACGCCTCCCACTTGACATACCGTTACTTTGTTGCGTTGGTTGTTACAAGTAAGATTCGATAAGATACCAGCAGCACACGTGACGACGTTCACGTCGGTGGAACTGAGAACTTGTACGAGACTTTGTAGCAAGCCCTCCAATCCGTCAACCTTGGTACCGGCATCCGATAAATTTCTTAACGTCCATAAACAATTCTGGACGAGTCTCTGACTCGGATTACCGAGGTGCATCGCGAGCGCTTGCATACCACCAGCTTCGACTATTACCGGTTTATTGCTGGCACAAACAGACAACACTTTCAAGACTCTCGACGTCGTCCACAGAAGCTTCTCGTAATCGTATGAACGCATAATGCGTACTAGCTCTATTGGTCCTTGAGAAGCCAATATAATTAACTTGCTCTCCTGATTACCGAATGCCAGAATTTGTAAACAATCCGTTACTATAGCTAGAAACTTTACATTGTTTCGCTGAAGCAGTGCAACCATTTTTTGCAAACCTCCGGCAAGTCGCACACCCATTTTCGATCCATCTTGATACAACAATAAGTTATGAAGAGTGGTTATGGCGTAAAAAAGTACAGATTCCATCGGAGAGCTCAACAGCTTTACCAGAGCCGGTATTCCACTGCTTTTGAATATAGCCAACAAGCCTTGTCTGTGATGCGATAAATTATGCAACGTGCCAACCGCGGCTTTCGTCGATTCGAGATCGTCACTGTTCGAAATGGCACGTACCAATGCAGCTACCATTTGAGAACTATTCATGATAGCATGACGCGACGCTTCCTTCTTAGAAAGTTGATGGACTACCATCGCCGCTTTTGACACAACAACTTGGTCCTCGTCGTTTAACAATTTAATTAATTCTGGTATTGCACGTGTCGCGAGATCCGCGTCATCCTGATAATTTATCAAATTGACAACAGCGTGTTTCAACATTTGACTCGGTTCTGCCAATCTCTGTACAGCCGTAGGTTGAGCAGGATCAAATTGCGTAGAGGGAATTTCTATTCCCTCTTCCAGTGTCTCTGGAAACATGGCTGCACGAACACGCTGAGATCTGGTATGATTCAATTGTTGATTCATTTCATCGACTTGGTCTTGCGTGAAACCCTGAGCAAATCCCTGGTCCAAGTCGAACATTAATTGGTCGCCTTCCATTTCGTCATCCTCTTTGCCTGACAAAGACGGTGCCTGAGTGACGGCACCTGAATGAATTCCTGAATCGCCCATGTACGAATTTTGCTGCCACATCAATGTTTGTTCTTTGGCAGAACCCATCGGCATATCGCCCAAACCTTGATAATTTCCGTGAGACACTACAAAATTAACAGAACAAAATAACATAAACCCTTCGCCCGTCTGCTCTACCAATTTCCACGAGGCTACTCACTTGGTCTGGTCTGATTCGAAGACATTTGGTAACTCATGGCTCCTACGGGAGAGTCTATCCACACCTGAGAAAAAAGAATAATTTATGAAATAATTTCTTTTCTTTTTTTCTGATAACGAAAAGTCTGTCGAAGAATAAGAGAAATACGAGTTGAACTTGCTCGAGTATGTGTAAAAAAGAAAAAAAAAAAAGATTCGAATTTTAAAATATTGGTGTTTCAATAGCGTTCAGTGTCGAATGTCGGGATGACGTTGAAAAACATGGTATAAGGTACAACGCGAGTGGGTGAATAGTCGCGAAAAAGCACGGCGAGAAAAAAGTATTGGTCGATCGTGTCGTTAAAACAGTTTCGAAGACGCCACGATGCGCGTAGGGTCAGTGCACCGTGTATCGCGAAGAATGGAAGGAGTATGCAACCGCACGGAATATGGGCACGATCGAAGGATTCCTCTAAGCGTTCTTGCAGCTTCCACCTTTTATCTTCGAACACGAGTCGAGGACGCGTTGATTCGAGCAAATACGACAGGAAATCGCATTTAGAGACACGCACGAGGCACGAACGATGCACGATTTCCGAAGGTAGAGGGACGCGCGTGGGCGTGCGGCACAACAAAGGCTCTGAGAATGCAATGCATCACCATTTTCCGAGGATCCCAGAGCAGTGGAGAGCGGAGTGCGGAGAGCGGAGAATGGCAGGGAAGCGAAAACGGAAAGGGACGAGACAACTGACAACTGGTATATCCGTTAATGGAAGAGAGAAAGGGAACGAGAAAAGAAGAGAGAGAAGAAACACTTTGACACACCCAGCGTAAACACTACCGTCGCGGAAATGACAATTTTTTTCCCCTGTTCGTCGATGTAATGGCGAATGATAAAATTCTGTTCCGCTTACCGTATCGCGAGGATCGACCGAAGGCGATTTCGTGAATCGTGCTTCGAAGACACGAATGACTCACTACCTTACGCTCGATCCACTAATTTCTCTTTTGTCTTCGACGCTCGATCCACCTATCGCTTCTCCGCACGGAACACTTGGCCTTTCCTGCCTCGAATCCGTCAACTAAAGATGGCGGAAAACGACGCGGAACCTTCGATCCTACCGCCACCTGTCGTCCGCACCGATCCGAGTATGCAGTGGTGCTCAAGCGGCGGACCGTCCACCACGAGTCGCGTGCACTCTGCACGACGCACCGAACTGAACGTGTCCCGAGCAAACTACGTACTACGCGTATTTATCGATTTTTACCCCGTGCGAATGTTCGATCCTTCGCGGCGAAAATTTATTCCGTCAGCAACGCGTCTCTTTCCATTTTCCTACTTTTCTTTTAGCCCGCAACTAAATCGTTATAAATTGCAACGATGCACGGCGCAAGCCGCACCTTTTATATTCACGTACATACGTACGTACTGATTTTAAGGTTACGGGTCACGTATCGAGTCGGAAACAATTATTACGAAGTAATCGATGCAGCGTTCAATCGGTTCGAGATTAGAACGAATTACTTTGCAGTTCGCACGATATCGCGATAAGGCCGTGCGAATAACGAACGTTTCGACCGAGTTTGATAAAATAAAAGAAATTCGAACGAACCGCTGATACGTCATAAGAATATATGTTGAACGATGAAACTAGCAATGCAGCCAATAATGTCCGAATATCTTTCGCATAGGAAGGTCGGAAGATAATATCGCGCGGTCGAGGAGATGAATTTCAATTAAAAGACAATTCTCCAGGACATGGCAATTTTTTAATGGATTCGTGGGTATTTGTCCATCCACGGTAGCCGAGAATTTCTGATCGAGTTCGGGAGTAAATCGTGCAGTTGGACAGCTAGAATGCGCACAAAATAACAGACACTGGAGTCCAAAGTAAAATATACTGGCCGTTTGGCGGGAACACCATTCGTTATCGGCTGCGCCCACGCCGATTAATTTTCGGATGCGTGATGGCGGTACCGTTCCTTCCGTTCCGTACAGTGATGATACATTTTATGTCAACGCTGATATTGAACGGATAATCGGAAAAAAGGAAAACGCGCTTTGAAATACATCATCGTGCCGATATTGAAATATCGGTGCGAACCTTTCTCGTATAAATTTATATCCGTTTTTTTAATTGATAACGAGTAATAGCCGCGTTTCGCATAATTTGAACGGGCGACAACGAAGCGGCTCTTCGTCGCGCTTATCGTCGCCGGGATAGAAAACCTTGGTCGATTTAATCAATTTTTAATCGACAGCGTATCGATCAAGCGTTCTCGTTCGCGGTGAGGAAAATTTTCGCGTTCGAACGATGCGCGTGACAAGCGCATTCGGTACTTTAAAAAACCCGACGATACGTTTACAGAAACGCGCATCGCGAAAGAGAAAACAAATCAAGCCTGTGTTTCGACGACGGAATCATCGTTTTCGAACGCGAAACGAACGAACACCTACCTATACGACGATCAATCGTCGCAGAGAGTACGCGTATTTCTTTTTTTTTTCGCGTAAGAGAGCCGACCGCGACGTATTCCCGTAGGTTTCATTTATTTACGAGCCTAAGAGAGGGGCTGGCTCGCGTAGCCCACGCTTCGCTGTATCGAGGATACCGGCCTTCTTCGGCAAAAAGGAGCGTTTCGTATTCCCTAGTAAAGACGATCGACGAAATCGGCTAAGACGGAACGGACGTTCCGAAGGAAAGCGCGAAGGAAAGCGCGAAGGAAAGCGGAGAAAAGGAGAGAAAACGTGGCGTGCTTTCGTTTCGCTCGGTCGTTTGGTCGATTTCGTAAATTTCGCGAAGGATCTCGCGAAAGAAAGAAAAAAAGGTACGGTACCGTCTTGAAGGCGGACCAGGTAGAGCATAGAGGGTGACAGATGCCCGTTGAACGGTGTGTCTCCCCACCTACGCGGCATGCTGCTGACACGAGCGTTTATGTCTGCATAAATTCTCATTTGAGCCCCGATAATAAAGTAAGCACACGAGGGGGACGGACACGCGTTGCCCGGTTCGGCGAGCACAGGCTGATACATAGATCACCGTTGAACGCGGGGCAAGAAAAGGGGGAAGAGTCGGGCAGGGTTGCTCGACGGGGGCAGAGGGGAGTAGAAACTCGGGGGCTGAGAGGTTCGCAGGGGTGAAGGGAGCAACGATGGCTAGGCATATATTTATGCGTATCTATATAAGGTACACACGAGCACGTTGCCTCTCGAACGAGTCGCTACACAAAGCTGTGGACGCACGCACGTACACAAGATTCTCGAGATGTAGCGTGCTTAATTATATGCATTCTCAGAATCCGCGCTGCTCTCCTCCGCTTAATGCCCGTGTATTCCGCGATGCTCCGTGTTTACGCGGCGAGCGAGGGGAGAGTCACCGGTGCCTCGTTTACCGCCCCAACCCGGGATAACCGGAACACGAAGAATTCTTCTTCGAAAAAATTCTCGCTTATTTTCTTTCTTCCGTTCCTCCGGCGATTATTCGATTTTCGGACAGGAATCGATCCCGTGGATCCGTCGTGGCTTCGCGAAGTCAAAGTTTACCGGAACTTTCGTCGACGATGATCGAGGAATCGGGCAGCGAAAACGTGGAAACGAGCATTCTTGCCCCGAGGGAAGGAAACGAGTCATCCGGAGAAGTTTCGCAGACGCAGTCGTATCGTCTGGCGCGCTTGATGGAGTAGTCTCGTGGCTAATGTCGAGCGAGGGTGGCAACCACGTTCTCGGCGTCGAGGACGACGAACGATATCCGATTCATCATCTGGACCAACGAAAGGGACTCGACTCTACTCCCAAGACGCAAACGAATCGAGAGAGTCGTGCCGCGTGTGATCGCGGTCGAGGAAAAAATTCAGCGATCGCGCGATCTAGTGGCGCGAATCATCCTTTGTCGGAGGACATTGTTCACCGATATCGAACAGAGGGCAACGGTGTTCGTCGATCGCGCTGTTCGCGCCGACCGCGGCGACCGCGGCGATCGAACCTCTCGGACAGGAGAGCGCGATTCGCGACGCTAATAGCAAAGAGTGGTAAAGTGTCCGAGAAAGCGTGGATCGGCGAGGAGCTGGGTGCAGAGAGGGGCCGAGGGGGGATACAGAGGGGGATACAGAGGGGGATAGAAGAGGATAGCCGTGTAGCGTGGTGTACCGGAGCAACTCGTCGAGATGGTATCCGGGGCGTGCCTCGTGTACCGTGGCGTCGTCGAATCGAAACCCTTGGCGAAG